GCCGTGCTCAGCGCTGGGCAGTTCCGGCATTCAAATTTTTCGCGAAGTCTGCGCCGCGGATTTCGGACCGAGTTCGCGAACATTGCTGGTCCTTCGAGCCGGATTCGGTGAGAGTGTGGTGCCTGTTTACCGTGACCCTCGGTTCTCGAGACGGACTGGAAGTGCCATTGGAGCATCATGGCTGATCTTCTCACCAAGCAGAACGTCCTGCAGCGTTCAATCGAACGCTCGATAGAGAATTTCAAGAAGGTGGGGAAGGCGAACCTCACGCCTGCGAAAATCCGGACCAAGATCGCCTCCTTCAAAGCCAACTGGATCCAGTTCCAGGACGGACACGTGTCGCTTCTGAGAGCTGTGGCTGAGACCTCGCGAGCGTCGATGGACTACTTTACCGAGAACCGTTTCGAGGTCGTCGAAGAAATCTACCAGACAACCTGGGAACACATGGCCGAGTGTCTTGAGGAGCTGGAGCCTATCGTGAGCCCGAACCAGTCTCTAAATAATAGCCACGCGGCATCGGACTCGTCCAATCTCGCGCTCACTCATATGCCGCCGATCCGTTTGCCGCCGTTCGACGGTGACTATTCTCAATGGGAGAGCTTTCGCGATCGATTCACCGCTCTCGTGATCGACAATAACGCATTAAGTCAATTCGCTCGTATGCATTATCTGGCGTCCTCCTTGAAGGGTCGAGCCCTCGATTGCTTAGGGGGTATCGCGATAACCGCCGATAATTTCCCCGTTGCGTGGGGCGCGCTAAAGTCGCGATTTGAAAATAAGCGGCGTCTCCTCTCATCTCATTTCTCGTCGTTGTTCGGACTGTCGGCGCTCACTAAAGAGTCCGCTTTAGAGTTGCAGGCTTTGTGCGACAAAATTAACATTGCGGTCGCTTCCTTGACAAATCTGGCTCGTTCTCCGAGCGACTTGTGGAACGACTTTCTGGTTCACCTGCTGACTCAGAAATTGGATCCCGCCTCTCGGAAGGCGTGGAATCTCAAATTTGGTGACACCGACACTCCGCCGACTTTTGAGGAGTTAAACCGATTTCTTTCGAATCGTATTCGCACGCTGGACGAGTGCTCGCCCAGTTTAGGATCGAAAACCTCGAAATCG